TAGTCCAACAATAATGTGGACCAATCTGTGAAATGACAATGTTATGATTAGTAAGTTTTAATAAGTAATATGACTTTAATCTAGCTGCATTAGACATCCTGATTACAAGTAATGTAAATGCATGACACATTGCTTTTATTCATCCAATTGGAATCTTCCTTTCTGAAGAGTGGCATAGAAGAAGAAGAAAATATCATTTCTATAGCGCCACTCAAGATAAAAATCACAAGGCGCTTCACAAAAACAAAATGTAAAAATATAAAAAAGCATTTAGAAAATGTTTAAAAACATAGTCTCTGTGGTGTTTATAAATCTGTTCAACTTTGATTTGACCGTAAATCAAAACATCCAGATTAATAAAACCAGTCCCACGTCATCTTAGTTCAGTTCACCGCATTCTAAGAGAAGTATCGGACCGGCCACCCGGACTTCCTTTTTATGCAAAGAACCAACAAGCTGGATAAAATCTGTTGCACTTTACCAACCAAGCAACGGTTCTTTTCAGAATAAGAGCTGAACTCACTGACCCTCCTGGTCCATCTGATGTTGTCAACCAGCTGTCGCTTTTTACCTGGAGACAATCCAAAGACTAGTCAGTCGTACTGCTGATGCTGTTTCATCGGCTCCGGTACCGAAAGGGGGGTCCGAGGGCCTGGCAGTCTGGATCTGTACGGAGGTCTCATCCTAAGGGTATGTCTGGTGCGACAAAATGGCGTCTCATGTGTTTATGAAACTCCGATCATAGCTTAAAAGCACAACATCACTTCCCACTCAGACTTGCTTCTCCGGATACGAGAGTTCTGATGGCAACATCACTCACACATACACCATTCATCTCACGTCTCATTCACACCAAGATCCATTCATCACTTAAGAGTTTAGAGTTAGTCTTGTTTAAAATGGTTTAGTAATAAATCTTAAACGTTTTAAAGGTGACTCTCTCTTCTGTTGTCTCTCAGTTAATACGAAGTGTTACGTAATCCCTGCAATAAAAAGTTCCAATCTTCTGGTTAAAAGTACCCAAAGATCCATAAGATTGATTTTCATATTTACAATGAAATCTCATGTCTTATGGTTCATTAAATAGATGCAAATTAAGCCCTTACACAGTCAATCCTTAATGCTACATGAGTGGTAGGAATGTAGATTGACTGAAATCGAGAGCGTTGCCTTCCGGCTCAGCTCTCTTTTCACCACGACAGACCGGTTCAACGCCTACATCACTGCAGACTCAGAACCAATCCGCCTATCGATCTAGCGCTCCAGCTTTCCCTCACTCGTGAACAAGCCAGAGATACCTAAACTCCTTCACTTGAGGCAGGACCTCGTCCCTGACCCAGAGAAGGCATTCTACCCTTTTCTACTCTTAAAAAAGTCAAATGTCTCCTTTAAAACAATCCGGGATTTTCTTAAATACACTTCACTGTGCAGTCATGGTTCCGGCTTTGGTCAGAGCTGCATGACTTTCTACGCAGAACAAATAACAACCATGACAGTTGAATTGTTTGTTTCCTCTGTAGAACTCCTTTTTGCACACAGTCGCATGCTTCTTAGTGTCTGCCCTTCATTTTATTTTATAATTTTTGATAATAATCTGTGATTCACAGGAAGGGCAGTTTTTCTGATCTGACGAATTCCAACATCTCTGACCTCACCTTTCATCCTTAGAAGTTTTTAAAGGTGTGGTTGACTGAAAAACCATTTTAAAATGATTATTTAGGATTGTTATGTCACTCTGAGGATTTCATGCAGGCTGAACATGAAAACAGTCTTCTACACGGATCTCTTCCATTAGCTTCTGATAGAAAATAGATGGTGAAATGTCAGGAATTGAAAATCCTTACACTGTGATGTCACACTGTGAGTTTGCGTTCATGGCCTCACCCATCTTGGCTCCCAGCCACCAACAGGAAGGCTTTTTTGATTTTGTGCAGCGAGACGAGAGTGCGAATTTGTGACTTTGCAACATGGCTGAATGCGTTCTGTCAGCCAATCAGAAGCAAGGTGTGCACATATCATTAATAATAATGAGTAATCCTGTTTTCAACCCACCTCTGCATCTCAGAACAGGAGCATTACAGCTTTTTTAATGGCTAATAAGGCATTGATTTACACTAAAGAACACTGCAAATGTTTCGAATAAATTAGTAAACCACACCTATAAACATCTGATTTTGTGACATCATGAGTCATCAGAGGAGGTTTTGAAGAGGGCAGTGATCTTAGAACGTCTATTGTCTCCCCTTTCTAAACATCATCCTACCAGTGTACCAGAGTGTGCTTGTTTAGTCTCCTATGATTTTGATAGCAACGTCTGCTAAGCGCAAAATAACCACTAATGTCTGAATGATCCCAAATACAGAAAACCTTCGAACACTAAAGACTAGTTAACATGTTTTTGCAAACAAAGAACATCACAGTGAAGATCAGCAGGAGTTTACAAAGAAACCACACGTAAATCTTACAAAGCCACTTATCAAACGTTCAACATGATCATGCACAGCTTTTCAAAACACAAATGTTTTAAAACTAAAATGCCCCAAAATGCCCAAAAGATGCAGATATCACTAGATAAAAATGCTAGTTAATGCCGAATCCTTCATGAAAACGAACTGAGTGGCTCACATTTTATTTCTTATTAACTCTGCTGCCCTCTAGCGGTGAATCGTGATATTTACTGTTGAAGATGGGTCTTTGAGATGTTCAACCCTCTCAGGCTCAAAATAAGTTTTGATAAAAGGACGAACAGCTAATTCCTTCAGGGGTACTTCTGAGTTTAAAAAAATGCTCATGAAGTACGTATGTGGAGTAACCAGGTAGGTAGGTTTTAATGTTGCAAATCTGCAACAACTGACCCCTCCAGAGGTTAATATAAAGCTAGATTTATCTTAATTTGCAGGAAAAACACTGATTTCAAATCCCAAGCAACAGTCTGTTTTGTTGACAACATGTTAGGAGGGAAGATGATTTTCATGCTTGTGTTCACAAGTACTGATGGAGTCCAAATGAGTGCAGATATGATGGCCCAGTCAGCTGTGATAATTGGGCCTGGAGACATCCTGCTCATATAAACAATTGTTCAGCTGGGGCAGGATATCATGCATGAATGTCACAAAGAAACAAATGACTGGTTGTTTATGATCTATGCGATTCATGTCCATCTTAATAAGGATCTGACTCATAATAAGCCTAATGAGAGGACAGCTGAGGCTTTCTCAGAAGCCTAAGCAAATGTACTGAGATAACTGACCGGATACAGACTCATCCTTTGCATTTCTGAAGTTTGTCCATCTATTGTAGGTGGGTTCCTTTCCTAGGGCTCTGCCTTCTTTAGGTCTGAACCATGATCATGTGACATCAGGGTCCTGGTGATAACATACAGAAACATGTGAGGGTGCATCATCATGCAGAACCGTAAAAATCCAGATCAGCACCTCAAGTAGAAGTTGGTATGAATCAGGAGCCGCAACTACAGAGGCACATGTTAAAGGCAAATTCTACAATGTTTGTTTTGTTCAGGGAGTATAATTTCACTTATATTGTATCATTTACTATAAATCAGGGCCATGCAGAGAGCGTTGAAGGGGCAGGTGCTCAAGCACCCTCCAGGATTTAGTTATTTTAATCTGAAAGAGGTTAATTGGGGTTGTGCATGTTTGGCCAGCCCGTCAATACTAGATAGCATTTTTACCTAAAATAATTTATTTCTAATATGTTTGCGGTGGTCTTCTTACCTGAACATGATCAACCTATTAAGGATCGAGACATCATATGGTTAGATTGTAACGGTTTCTCTTCTGGGTTGGTTTAGTTCGTTTTATGGGGTGCCAGTCAGGTCTCCCTCCTGACTTATGGTGTTTAAGAAATTAGCTTTGAACCCAGTTTTCCTGTCACACAAGGACATATACTTGAAATGATTTTGTATACACCCTCGATTTCTATAAAAAGTGTAGGCAACCAGCAGAATAAGGAGTACAGCACAGTCCATGAAGACAAATCAGCAGTCTTGTCCTTGATTTTGGTGTAGCTCCATTTTAATTTTCCTTTTCATCTTCTTTTGTCTTTGCCATTGAATAAGGAGCTATGACACAAAACAAATATATTTACATTAAACACAATACATTCAAACATAAAAAGAAACCTGTAAAAGAAATAATCTGTACCAGAACTCTCTCACTTGACAGGGGTGTGAATGATTCTTCTAGCAGGACAAAGGACACAATTCAGAAACTCTAAAGACAGACTTGTTTAGCCCTTAGCCTTAGGTCTCGAGGACTTAACACAGGCACGCCAAGTATTTTGGTTGGTGTTTGGTCGGCTCAGAGGACTAATGGGCCATTCCCATCTGTACCGGGTCGGCCCGGGCCGGGTAGCGTAGATTGTTTACATATCTGGGTGGCCTGGTATTTTTCCGGGCCAACCAAGGCTCATTCTCAGCCCTCTTCTCGAGGGGGTCTGCTTCAGGCCGACCAGGGCCAACACACCCACTGCTGACAGCAAATTCACACCTTCCATTAGAGCAAGCCTCTGATTGGTGGGTAGAATCAGCCCACATGGGCTTAAGACAAGGATGTGTGGAATCAACCGGGTCAGGCTGGGGCCGACTGTGGCTACCCGGCCCGGGCCGACCCGGTACAGATGGGAATGGCCCATTAGATTCTCCTCTGGAACGATAGGTGAATCCACGTCGTCACAGGAAGACGCTCCACATGCTGACCCTTTCTCCAGCACAATACATCCAAGGGAATCAAAGGAAACGATTGGAGAAAAAAACAGGGGAGACACAGTGTGGCGTTCCTTTTGAACGGTGAACTTGGGCGTGGCGCACAGGTGCTGAGCATTTGCCATCAAGGCAGAGAGGAGGCAGGAAATGAGCAATGCGGTGCAACCTCAGGTTGTCATAAAGATGTTGGGCATTTACATGATGAAGCACCTAGAATGTGTGACATAACCCTTTTAAATAAACCATTAATAAAAAATGAGAAAGAGAAAAAAATATATATCATTTTCTGCTTTAATCATTTATTTAAAAATATATAGAAACAGGACCACTGCTGTAAACACACACCAACATGAAAGAGCACAGTTGTACACACTTCAATGCAAGCCCTTTCATCAGCATCTTCAACTCAGACTGAGACAGAAAACACAAACTACATGTTGCAGCAGCACTTGAACAACTCAGAACTGTACAGTGTCTAAAACAATATCCTTACATCAGTGCTGCTCTATATTAAACTTCTTAAATGGTATTATTTTTAATAAACTTTAACAACAAAACTCAATAAAAGCGGCAGCTTTTAGATCAGTGTACAGTGAGAGAGCTACGGCTGTCCAAAAGGGATCTGAGAAAAACGAACACCGCAAAATAAACGACAAACACTTCATTACAGGATTGTGTTTGCGTCACCGGTTTCCAAATTACTGCTCAGGTTATGGCTGACAAGGTTTTCCAATGACAGGATATTTGAAATGACAAAAACATACAAATTAGAAATGCTTAAACCATCAATTTCCTTTTTAGGTAAAAAATAACCTACAGAAAAGAGAAATATTGGCACTAGAAAACCTCTACGCGGCCCAGCCCTGCTCAAACCCAGTTAACGTGCAGGTCACTGGTGAGAACGATGGTAAGCGGAACAACCCTGGTATGTAAGGGTTAATGGGAACTGCTCTCAAACAAACACTGATCTAGTCACAACAAAAACTCATTTCATGTCTTCAGTGGAGTTATACTCTAACCGTTAATGCACTCCTACAGCACAATGGTCGTCAAATCTGTGAAAATAACTTATTAGTCTGTGTGAATCAATGTACTCATCAATTATCAGAAAGGAAAGCTAAATGAAACTAAACCTAGCTAGTTTATTCCAGGAAGCGGAATAAGCTGTTGGTGTGAAGCAGTGAGCCTTTGAGCGGCGACTAATTCACCAAAAATGTTGTCCTCTGATGACGTTTTATTGTGCCTTTATTGTGAAACTTTAAACGATGCTACACACAATCTGACTTGTGTTTAGATGTGGTTTTTCTTTTTGCAGATTTAAGGCTGTTTTCCTGTTTTGGTGGTCTAGCAAAGATATTTGTCTGCGTTATGGAACCAAAGTACATCTGGAAACACATCAGGACGCTCCAGTGAACCTCAGCTTTAACTACGATGTTTAACTAGATAACAGTCTGGTCCCAACATTTACGAATTCCTTCAGTAGATCAGGCCAAATGTCCACAACCTCTATGAAGAACCGTCCTCCAGCTGCTCGTCCTGAAAAGGGTAGCTGAGAGCCGGAGGGAAGCCCTGACTCCGAGGCTGTTCATCCAGGAGCATCAAGTCCTCCATGTCTTTTCCTTTGTACCTCCGCCTGCAGATCTTCACAGTCACTTTTCTCCCCTGAAAGACTTTTAGAGCTTCTTTGGAGGCCATGGCTCTGGCGGCAGGCTCATCCCGCCCGTACCCTGTGCCCATGTAGACCGTCTGGCAGCGGATTTCACACACGTGGCCTTCCTTCTGAGCACGGCTCGCGGGGAGGCCTGCAATGTCCTTCAGTGGCACAAACACACAGGTCAGGGTCTGTTTACATGACTCCACGCAGCTCCGAAGGATTTCAAAGTGGTCCAGGTTTGGACCGAAGCCCCCTGCTGAGACCAGCTTCCAGGCCACAGCTTTGTAGAGACGGTTGAAGAAGGGCTGATGCTCTGTGGGAGCCTGTGGACAAGGCCCACATTTCTGACCCATGGGCCGCGCTGTGGTCCTCCCAGCAGGTCGACTGTCAACCTCATTGGGGGCGCTTCTAGCTCTTTTTACCCCACTGTCAGCATCACCCTCTGTGAATGACAACTTTGTTTACTGCACAAAAACAACAGATTCAAGCCTTTGTTGTGTAATATAAAGACTTTAAATCCCTGCAGCAATGATGCGTTAGAGTTAACAAGTTGGATTGGTGTAGAGATGCATGGTGTGCAGGGGGATGCAAAAGTTTGGCCAGTCTTGTTAATCTTCATGATTTTCCTTCATCGTTGGTTTTTACAATATTCAGTTAAATATATAATTTAGTGACAGTGACGTCTGAGAAATGAAACTAAGTTTATAGGATTTACAGAAAGTGTGCAATAATTGTTTAAACAAAATTAGGCAGGTGCATACATTTGGGCACCACAAAAAAAGAAATGAACTCAACATTTAGTAGATCTTCCTTTTGCAGAAAAAACAGCATCCAAACACTTTCTATAGGTTCCGATGAAAGTCTGGATTCTGGCTGAAGGTATTTTTGATCCTTCTTCTTTACTAAACATCTCTAGTTCATTCAGGTTTGATGCTTCTTAGCATGAACGGCTCTCTTTAACTCACACCACAGGTTTTCATTAACATTGAGGTCTGGGGACTAAGATGACCAATCCAGAACGTTCTACTTGTTCCTCTGCATGAATCCTTAGTAGATGTTGAGCAGTGTTTAGGGTCGTTGTCTGCTGATATTGAGTGGAATCCATGCGTCCCTCAATTTTAACAAGATTCCCAGTCCCTGCACTGGTACACAGCCCAAAGCATGATGGAACCACCACCATGTTTTACTGTAGGTAGCAGATGTTTGTCTTGGAATGCTGTGTTCTTGTTTCATCAGTCCACAGCACCTTATTGCATAACGAAGCTGGCTTGTCCAAATGTGCTTTAGCAAACCTCAAGCAGCTGTTTGTGCTGTGGGTGGAGAAAAGGCTTCCTCTGCATCACTCTCACATGCAGCATCTCCTTGTGTAAAGTGTGCAGAATAGTTGAACGATGCACAGTGACTCCATCTGCAGAAAGATGATGGTGTAGGTCTTTGGTGCTGGTCTGTGGGTTGACTCTGGACTGTTCTCACCATTCTTTGCTTCTGTTGATCTGAGATTTTTCTTGGTCTGCCACTTGGAGCCTTAGCTTAGGAGGTTACTGAGAAGGGCTGGATGATGATTCAATAGTTCAATATACCAATCAAAACCACAGGCTCGGGCACGGTGTGTCACCAGACCCTCCCCCCTCAAGGCAAAACAGAACATGACGCAGCGAGAAGAGGTGGAGAAAAAATTAAAATCCAAAACCAAAAACTGAACCACTTGTCATCCCAGCAAAACCATCCATACAGCACAATATCTCAATCCGAAATGACTTCCTAAGTCTGGCTCCTTCAAAGGCAGTTCGAAATCTGGGTGTTGTGATTGATGAACACCTGACCTTTAAAGATCATGTTGCTTCTGTTGCTCGTTCATGCCGCTTTGCGCTGTATAACATACGAAAGATCAGACCATACCTAACACAACATGCCACCCAGCTCCTGGTGCAATCTACTGTCATCTCCCGCCTCATTTACTGCAATGTCCTTCTAACTGGTCTTCCAGCCTGTACTGTGAGACCTCTTCAAATGGTCCAGAACGCAGCAGCGCGTCTGGTCTTCAATCAGCCAAAAAGAGCACACGTCACCCCTCTGTTCATTGAGCTACACTGGCTACCGCTAGCAGCACGCATCAAATTCAAATTGCTAACACTAGCATACAAAGTCCGAGATGGTACGGCTCCCATCTACCCGAATCCTCTTGCAAAAGCTTACGACTCGGCCCGGACGCTCCGGTCATCACAGGATTGTCGGCTAGCAGTGCCTACACCACACTCAGGACAATCCAGACTCTTCTCATGTATCGTTCCACAAATGTGGAATGACCTTCCAAGCTCTACCAGAACTGTGGCTTCCTTTTCAATTTTCAAGAAACTCCTGAAGACCCTGCTCTTCAGAGAGCATCTTCTAAACTAGCACCTTCCCTGCACCTGTCCCCCCTCTCTACTGTCCACCCCTTGTTCCCTCCTCTCCATGACTGATGTCAATGTTGTTGTTGTTGATGTTGTTAGCCTCTAGGGCAGGGGTGTCAAACTCATTTTAGCTCAGGGGCTACATTGAGGGAAATCTAGTCCCAAGTGGGCCGGACCGGTAAATTAAAAACAACTTCAGATTGTTTTCCCTGCACCCGTCCCCCCTCTCTACTGTTCACTCCTTGTTCCCTCCTCTCCATGATTCATCATGCTGCCTCACTGCCACCTACGACTGACTGGAAGTTGGTTGTTGTTCTTGTTGTTGTTAGCCTCAAAGGCAACATGCCGATTATTAGTTGCTTTGGACAAAAGCGTCTGCTAAATACATAAACATAAATAAAATGGCCAAGGCTTCACGTTAAATATATTTTCCACAATATTTAAAATATTTTTCAATAATTATCGATATCGATCAATATTTAAAAAAAGATCAATATACTTTTTTTCTACATCATCCAGCCCTATCACCGAGCTTACCAAACCAATTTTGAGTTCCAATAATTAGTTCTAAAGGTTTTGGAATTAATAAAATGACAACAGTGCCCATATGTATGCACCTGCCTAATGTTGCTTAAACAATTATTGCACACTTTCTGTAAATCCTATAAACTTTAGTTCACTTCTCAAATATCGCTGTGTGTGTCTCCTATATGATATACTTAACTGAATATCGTAACAACCAACAGTTTATGCAGAAAAATCATGAAGATTAACAAACTGCCCAAACTTTTGCACCCCACTTTACATTTTACTTAGCCTAGTGAACTACACCAAATTCTTGTTTTGCAAAGACTTTAAATAATATATTAATTTTGTCTTGCTTGCCAGGCTACATTTTACTATCAAATCTATTCAAAACTTGTAGCAAGCAACCACACTGCACAGACAGGTTCCTTTTCAAAATATAATATAATGTGAGACGTGGACAAAGCTATGCAATCCAAACCGGTCCTATGTGGAAAAGGCTGTCATAAACATTAACTGTGATTAAGCGTGAAACCTGAGTTTCAGTATTCACACACTGGCCCGAAAACATAGACCTGAAGAAGTAAGTGACAAACATGGAGTAAGATGAAGGTCCTAAAAAGCAGCACATCATGTCATGTTCTAAAGAGATCGAAGAACGGGAAAACCCAGAAGCCTCGTCAGGTTCAGGTTAAGGTCAGAGTTCATGATTCAACAATAAGAATGAGAGGGGAGCTAAAATAGTATCATGGAAGAGCTCCAAGGCCAAAATCTCTGCTGAGCAAAAACAACTCATCACACATTTCCTAAAAAATATCTTTATGGTCTACAGAACTCATAGGAGAACGTTGCTGACCCAAAACATTTAAATGGGACAAAATATATTTTAAAGTCTTTAAGGAAACAAAATACATGGTAAGAGCAATGTAGCCTTTCAAACATATGTATTTGTTAACTTCTATCCATGCTTATTTCAATTATTTAACTTCACAATACATATTTTATTCTAATACATTTTAGGTCACCTGAATGACTTCAACAGGCTATAAATACAAGATCATGAAAACACTTTCAAAACAACTATGTTTATCATTCAAATGCAAAAAAAGCAGATATATCATATAAGCTGTAATATAAATGCTAAATTTAAGTGTCTCTTTACATGTTTGGTGATAATAAAAATATTCCTTGCATTACCAGCTGCACAGCTCCGCTTTCCTTTGGCCATAATTCCTTCTTTTGCTGTTTTGTGGACAGGAGCATCCTGGACAACTATTCCCTCACCCATCTCCTTGATCTTATCCATCACAGCCTGTGGATAACTAACAAATGACAAAAAAGTCACAAACAAATCCCAAGGTCATGATCTGCTTTGTGTTGTTTTTGCAGTCACTGAACTTGCAAATAGGACTGCACAATATATTGCAAATATATTGTCATCACGATATCAGCATGAGCAACATGCATCTAGCAAAGAACAGAAGACAATCACAATGAATGGTCAGCTCAAATGTTTGCTACACATAATGCCTTCTGTCCATCAAACGAAAGCATGGTGTTTAACAAACCAGAGAGAGCTCTTCGCCCATTTGGCCAATCAGATGGGTTCTCATAGGTTGGATACCCGGCCCCTAGGTGAACAACACTTAATTTGGATGGTTTTGCAAAAACCTGAGTTAGCTACTTTCTGCTTTTCCCAGGATACACTGATTGTCTTATCTAGGTTATTTTCTTTTTCTCTTTCCTCACATCTTTTGCTTTTCTGATTTTAATATTTTTTTGTACTTTTTTAATGTATTTTTTTGTTCCGTAGTTAAGTTTTTTGCAAGTCATATCGCCATCGCAATATTAATCACTGTTATAGTGTATGGCAGGTTTTCCTAATGTCGTGCAGCCCTACTTGCAAAGCATTCGATTAAACACACATTTGACTGAATAGATGGTGGAGATAACCTTAAGAGTGCATCATCAGCTTTCAAGAGTCTCAGCTGGTAACCATGGTAACTTACCAACGATGCCTCTACTTTTATTTATTCTGCAAAATCAAACTACTATTGTAAGTGATTCTGTGTCTAGAAGAGAGAAGCATTAGTACTTTTTATGTTATATTATTTACTATGAAGGTGTTGCACAATACATTTGCTCTTTTAATACGGCTTGATTCAGTCTTGTGAAAACTCGGGACAGACTGTCAAACTGACAGATGTTAGACATCATTTTCAACTCTACAGTCCGTTGCAATTTGCAAAGCCTGCTGAACCTTTCCTCTGTAATGTACAGCTATTTGGGCTGATTTAGTAAAGAAGCTCAGAAAGGAACAGACTCCTATTGGGGATGTCTAACAAAACAAGAATAGCAAAAGATACACTCTGACTTTTAACAGTAAGAAATAAAAACAAATTGGCACTTGTATATCTGACACAAGAGGGCAGTAGACATGAAAAGACATGATATGGAAGGTGTTCAGTGAACGTACAAATCCTTATACTCCATCTGGATGCTTTTAGACCAGATGGGGTTTGTTGTGTATTTATAACTGTACTCTACCAGGGGGCATAACCTTAAGCAATGAGCTGTACTGTACATCCTTAGTTTATTGAAGTTTGATGATAACAACTTATCAATGTCATTTTAAAAGCAAAGTCCATTCAAATAGTCCAAAATAACCTGGGTTTCAGCACTTTGTTGATTGCATTCAATGATTTAATTTTATTTATTTATATTTTTTGTTGCATGTATAAGCAAAAACAAATTTGTGTGTAGCTCTGTCGGTGTGTCAACCTACTTGCAACCGAGGAAGACGTGATTTGCCCAGACCATGGACAGAGACAGCAGCCTGTCCAGGCTGCTGCTAGGGACCCCAGGTTTCACCGTGGGGAAAGCCTCCATGTTTCTCAGAATGAACTCCCTCCGAGCCGACCACTGCTTGTTGCTCTCGCAGTAGTCTCGTTGTGTGTCGATCCATTGGGCCAGCTCAGGGTTCTGGCTCAGGTATTCTGAGACATCTGCGCTCATATGCCCCGCCATCCCTGGTGGACAGACAGAGATTTCCAAAACTCGCATTTATGTTGGTAAAACACAAAGATCTGTACAAAGTTACATGTCAACAGGTCAACACAAAGCATGTACTGACTACACTGGCTTACTAATGGTTAATGTTTAAGTTGTTATTGTGTCTGGTTGATTAGCTAGGGTGACTAAATATTTTCATATTACTACGAAGTGACTCAAATTACCTGACAAGTTGAGCCGCGTAACATTAGCTAAACCAAACACCACGCAAAAACCTACAACACTGAGACCAGCCTTTCCACAACAACTAGCGAAATTTTCATTGCCTGTCAAGTCAGTATGGAGCCGTTTGATATAAAAAAAAAACTACGACATACTAAGCCGTTTCTGTTACGATTCTGCCAGCTAGCTAGCTATTTGTCCAAATATGACGCAAGACCACGACGTAACCGGAAAACTACATTACCCAGAAGACAATTGTGCGCCACAAGTTGTTACGAGTGTTTTACGATTTTAGCATCAACACAGCCACCATTCGCTATTCAAGTGAAACTAACTTGCAGCGCAAAAACACACTGATTTATTTTGTGATAAACAATAAAAACAGACAGCGCAACCCCGTCTACAAAAACGTGACGCAACCAGTGCGTTTAACGTAAGAAACCTGCGACACCGTGACCGGAAGGCGCTGGTTTGTTTTTGTCTGAGTGAGAAGCTTTGCTGTGTTACCTGTTGTCACTAGATGAAAAAACATGATTCACGAGCTGTTGTTGGCGCTGAGTAGATACCCAGGTGCAATCTTCTCATGGAACAAACGAACAGGTCTACAGGTAAAAACTGACTGAGCAATGCCGTTTAAATGCTAGCACTCAGTAGCAAAAGCTTAACCTAGCTATTTACTTCTAAAATTACATTGCTTATCATATGGCTGTGTAATCATTTTTTTCTCACTCTTGGATGCTTTTTATAATTATTTTACCTTGAATATATTTGTTGCTGCACAGTTCTATTGATAAGAGATTTTCAATTAATTTTATTTCAAAACACCATTTACACTCTTGATTCCATTTTCACTTGCGATCAACCAGAGCTAGTTTATTAAAAAAAGATGCCAGTCTTTTCTCAGCGTGACATCATCTTTTAATTTCCTGTCCAGGTGTCCCAGGACCTGCCCTTCCTTCACCCCAGTGAGACCAGTGTCCTGAACCGGCTGTGTAAACTGGGCTCAGATTACATACGCTTCACTGAGTTTATAGAGCAACACACCGGCCATGTTCACCAGCAGGTTATTATCGGTGTCATGAAACGTTTGCATATGATTTAAACTTTTATTGCTCACAGCTTAATTTTTGAGTATCTCCATCAGCACAAATGTACTTTATTAGCTGGTATTTGATCACATCAAATCCAACACAGTTTATATTAAAATACAAAGAAAATATCCTCAACAAAACATGAAATAAATAAAATTTAAATTGAACTTTCCTTCAATTCTTCACGTCATTTAAAATACTTTTCAGTCTTTAATCCAGAACGAAGCCCCCTTTGTTTATACACAATGTATTTTGCAGGAGCACCACATGAACCCGCTGAACCAGACGGGACTTCATGGAATTTATTTGCGGGCATTTTGCACTGGTCTGGACTCAATGTTGCAGCCGTACAGACAGGCCCTGCTGGACCTGGAGCAGGAGGTAAAACCATCAAACAGCTAATACCCGGGACTCATTGAACACATAAAAGGAAGCTCATTTGACCTGTGTGTTTGTTTCAGTTCCTGGGAGATCCACACTTGACAATATCTCACGTAAATTACAAGGTTGATGAGGTAATTCTGTAATAAAAGCTTAACAGTTGTTTACTTGATTCAAATCTGTCTAAAGCTGCATTTTTTTATTGAAGTTTCAGTTGCTGTTCCCCTCTGTTATGGTGGTGGTGGAGACCATAAAATCACAGAAGGTAAGGAACGCTTAATGCATGAACTTAATAAAATGAAATGTAAACTCATTTTATCCCTCACACAAAAGCTGCTGCTGTTTTCTCACAAATATATGATCAGTCATTCCAATCCGACCCTTTGCACAGTATAAACTCTTCATGTTAGTGGGTTACCTCTGACTTTTGACTGCTCAACAGCATTTTTATTAATGTCAGAGCTAGACTTTCACTTAGATTCTTTTGCAAAATTGTTTTTACATTTAAGGACGTTGTCCTTTAAATTCTTGATTGCTTCTGATAAAATTTCACTCATAGGTGTGACACCATGATTCTGTCACCACCGTGCTTCACTAATGAAATACTCAGAAACAGTTATTTCTTTCTTTCTTTTTTTTATTCAACCAATCAAAACATGTCCGGGTGTTATTTTTTCCCTCTACACGATCTGTATCGCACTGCTAAAAAGCAGACATGCCCCTTTTCTCCTTTTAGACCAAAAATGCTTTTTAATTCTACTCAGAGATCCTTATAAAGAGCTTTAAGATATACTCAGAAGTTTCTCTGGATTCTCCTTTAACATGATAGACTGTTAAGACATTAATCCTGGCTCCTTAATCCCTAATTCTTGGTCAAATTATAAGGGATTTTAGACTTTCCTACAGTTTTGTGCTTTTATTTGAAAGTAGACTTTACAAAATACCCAAAATGTAAACAAAACAATCTCCTTCTAATATTAAATCTGTAACTGAAAGAATCATAAATATAAAAGATAATGCTTTTGTTAAATTATTTTAATTGGACTATAAAGGAAGGTCAGATACCTCCCTCTTGGAAGGAGGCCATTATTTCCTTGATACCTAAGAAAAATAAAGATAGAAAAGACTGTATAAATTATAGGCCAATATCAATTTTGAACATAGATTACAAAATATACACCTCAATTATTGGGAAGCGACTAGAAACCTTTATAACAGATCTAATAGATGAGGACCAGTGTGGGTTTATACCAGGAAGACAAACACAGGACAATATTAGCAGAACTATCCATATATTCCATACAATTAATAGAACATAAAATTAGTTCAGCCTTGATGCCGAAAAGGCATTTGATAGAGTAGATTGGGGTTTCTCTATTAAACTTTGCAAAGATTTGGATTTAATGAAGATGTAGTTAAGATCATTAAGGCATTGTATCAGCACCCCACTGCTAGAATTAAGGTGAACGGCTCTTTGTCAGATCGTTTTGAGCTAAGTAGAGGCACAAGGCAGGGATGTTGTTTAAGTCCCACGCTTTTTGAACTGTATATCGAGCCATTGGCACAAGCAATTCGACAAGAGGAAGGGTTGAAAGGGATCGTAATAGGTGGAAATGAACACAAATTGGCTTGTTCGCGGACGATGTTATGTTATACCTCAGTGAGTTAGATACATCTCTTCCTAGACTTTTGGACTTATTAGAAAGGTTTAATCTTTATTCAGGTTACAAACTTAACATGGCAAAATCACAAGTTATCCACTTCAACTATACACCAGGAGAGGAAATTAGAAATAGATTAAATATCAATTGGAAAACCCAAGTAATAAAATACTTGGGGATAAATTTAACTAAAAAACAGAATTATTATATGAGGCTAACTATTAGGGATGAGCCGGATACTCGTCTGAAACGAGTATCCGGTACGGATAAAGCATTTTTGACGAATACGAGCATGAAACGAGTAAAGCTCGTAAATATCTGTAATCGTGCTGAAGGAAAATCCTCATTGGGTAACTGACCGTCTTCACGCTCTGTGATTGGCCAGTCACATAGAGCACCCGCTCCTCCCTACACACAAAACTCTCTAGCCGGCCGGGAGCTCAGTCCGTCCGGCTCATCCACGCACACACACAGACAGTAACAGATCTTGCTGTGCTTGCTTCACTGTTGCTCACGTTTCTTCAGTTTTCCCTAGGTTTTCTTCAGCTCGCCTCTTTTTCGGTTGAATATTTAAAGTTACTTTTTTCGTAACTTACCTGGTGCATTTGACAAGACAGAGCTGACGTGCTGTGTCAGTCACTCACTACCTCCGCTCCGGTCGTGTTTTTTTATTTTTTATCTCCATCTCTCTCCCTCTCACCCTCTCTATCTCTCTCAGACACACACACCTTAATCAACATTGTTTTGTTTAACTTTGTGTGGGGCAAAATGCCAAGAACGTTAAGAAAAAAATCAGTTTAATCAAATTAAAATAAAAAATATATATATAAAGTTGTGTCTGGTTCTAGCATTTCATATTTCCTAGTTCCTACTGCATGAGTTCAGATGTATTAATCCATGCACTTAAATATTAATGTTCTGATTTTATTGAAAAACTTGTTCTGTTATAGTTTCTTTACTATTGTGATCAAAAATATTTAATCTCAATTCTGAGGCTGCTCTGTAAATAGTTTTCAAATAAACAATACACATATCAACTTCTGATCATTCCATATCAATTTCAGACTTAAAATAATGTATTGATGTAAACCACGCCCACTTCCGGGCTATGCCACGCCCACTTCCGAGTACAGATACAGATAATTTAGTTGGTTGAACAGATACAGATACAGATAGTGGTGTACTCGCTCATCCCTACGAACTATAATCTAGTTAATGATAAGATAAGATAACAACTTTATTCATCCCGAGGGAAATTGTTGTGTCATGTACATGCTAGAGACAAAGAAACAGGTGAAACAGATATAAGATATACGATATATATAGTAAAAATAGTGTACAGTAGTATACAATAGGATAGTGCAAGAGAAATACTCAGATAACTCAACAAATAAAATACATGACTGTATCCTGGTGAATAAGTAATTAAGCTATCAGTGCAGGTGATTTTCGAAAATGATCAGAGTATTGTGCAATAGAATTAAGGGTAGTAGCAGCATATGATGGAGGAATGCAAACATATTTCCAATAAGAACTCTTGGGTAATATTGCACGGTCTGGGATGGAACAGAACAGCCTAGGTAATAGTATTAGGAGAATCACCTACAGCGTGAGGAAGAGTTAAACAATCCTATTGCCACCGGTACGAAGGATTTCCTGTGGCGGTCAGTTCTGCATTTAGGCGCAATGAGTCTTTTGCTGCGTGTGCTTCGATGGTCAATCATGTGGGCGTGCATGGGGTGGGAGGGGTTATCCAAGATAGAGAGAAGCTTTTTTAGCATTCTCCTCTCAGACACCTCCTCCAGGTTCTCAAGTCTAACACCCAGGACAGAATCAGCCTTCCTAATCAGCTTGTTCAGCCTGTTGGCATCAGCTATCTTCACCCCACTGCCCCAGCACACAGCAGCAAAGAACACAACGCTCTCCAACACAGAGTGATAGAACATGGCAGCATTTTCCTACCAACATTGAAGGACCTGAGCCGCCTCAGTAGGAAAAGCTGACACCTTGCCCTTTTTTGAAGATAGCATTGGTGTTCTTGGTCCAGTCCAGTTTACAGTCCAAGTGTACACCCAGGTACCGGTAGTCCTCAACGATTACAACGTCAGCCCCTCTGATGGTGACAGGAGTAGGAGGTGGGGCCTGCTTCCTAAAGTCCATAATCAGTTCCTTAGTCTTTGTGATGTTAAGTTGTAGGTGGTTTAGCTCACACCACTCCACAAAGCTGTCCACCACACTCCTGTACTCCACCTCCTGACCATCCCTGATACAGCCCACGATGGCAGAGTCATCAGAGAATTTCTGCAGATGGCAAGACTGAGACTTGTACATGAAGTCAGATGTGTAAAGGGTGAAGAGGAAGGGTGATAGAACTGTCCCCTGCGGCGCCCCCGTGTTGCTCAGGATGTTATCTGAGCGGCAGCTCATCAGTCGGACATGCTGTGGTCTGCTTGTTAAATAGTCCGTAATCCAACCTACAAGTGGGGCGTCCACCTGCATTTCCGTGAGCTTGTTCCCCAGCAGTGATGGTCTGATCGTGTTAAAGGCACTAGAGAAGTCGAAGAACATGACCCTCACAGTGCTCCCAGCAATGTCCAAATGAGAATATGCCCGGTCCAGCAGGTAGATGAGGGCATCCTCCACACCGATACGAGGTTGATAAGCAAACTGCAGGGGATCCAGCCAAGATGATGGGAAGAGCTGGCTGTGGAGACAGGAGACGCTGGGCAGTCGAACCTATTGAAGTGTAGATTTAGGTTGTTAGCACTTCCGACATCCCAACACCTCTCTTTTGTCTCAGGCCAGTGATAGCCCGCATTCCATTCCACACCTCCCTGGTGTTGTTTTCCTGCAGTTTGTTTTCCAGCCTCCGTCTGTAGGACTCTTTCCCCTCAGCAATCATGGCTTTCAGCTCCTTCTGCACCAGTTTCAGCTGATCTCTGTCACCATTTCTAAAAGCTCTTTTTTTCTTGTTCAGGGTTGCTTTTATGTCTTTGGAAACCCAGGGCTTATTGTTGGGGATGCACAGTATGGTTTTTTGGGGGACTACCGTGTCAACACAGAAGTTGATTTAGTCTGTAACACAGCCTGTCAGATTGTCAATATTGTCCTGATTGGAATCACAAAGAACGTTGGTTACGTATTGTAACCCCAGATTCTATGAGTCTAGTCGCAGCCCTTAAGTGAGCTGCTATTGGAAGGGTGATCTCAGCATCGTCCAGTCGGTAGGAGCCAGCTGGCTCCTGGCCGATGTTGAAGAACTGTAACGCCTTGTCCAGCGAGTACGTGCCAGCCACCGGAATTTCCTCGTAGGTGGTGGGGGTGAAGTACTCGACCCGGCGGACCTTTTCAGCCACGGGCAGAGCGGTACAAAACGGGCACGAGGCCTGGGGGTCAAGGCCAGGCCAGCATGGTGAGCCCCGAGACAGACCTCACACTTGGCGTGCAGGTCGCTGCTGGAGATGGAGCCCGTCTGGCAGGCCGGGCAGGTCCTGGCGTCGCTGGACATGGTCAGTGAGTAGATTTTTCTTGTATAATTGCTCTTAAAGGAAGCTCTTAAGCTTGGCGTGAAGAGAAAATGGAGGCGAACAGTGGGGTCATTCCACTTATATAACCCACAAGGGGTGCCCACTTGGTGGGCGTACATTTAAGCTCTTCATGATTGGCTGATGCTGAGATCACCCTTCCAATAGCAGCTCGCTTAAGGGCTAAGACTAGACGAAATAGAACATACCAGTCCATTGACTCAAAGCATCCCTGCAGAGTCTCTTCCAACTCCCTTGTCCATGTTGTGACCGTTTTTGTGGCTGCAGGTTGTCTCTGGACGGCAGGTCTATGAAGGGGCTGGAGGGAGACCAGGTTGTGGTCAGCCCTGGCCAGGGGAGGGAGAGGGCTGGAGGTGTATGCCTCAGCAGCATTGGCATAAAACAGGTCCAGTGTTTTATTGTTCCTTGTTTTGCAGTCCACATACTGCTTGAATGTAGGTAGAACAGTGGAGAGGTTCGTGTGGTTAAAATCGCCCGTTATAGCCACAAACGCAGAGGTACTACGATTTAGTACGTCCGCTGTCGCAGAGCTGATGATGTCATATGCCTGCACCGCGTTGGCATCAGGAGCGATGTAAACAATGATGATAATGGCGAGGGAAAACTCACGCGGTAAATAATATGGTCGGAGACCGACCGCCAACATTTCAATGCGTTTGTTACACACAGCCATCCTCACCTTAATGTGACTAGGGGAACACTAGCGGTTGTTAACATAAAGAGCGAGTCCACCTCCCCTCTTCTTCTCACCACTACCCGAGCCCCTGTCCGCCCAGCCAGGGTTATATGACTCTGTGTTAGGTAGTTTAATGTATTACTGTCTTAAATGTTCCTTTTTAAGTAATCATATGTTAATAAGTAAGCCACAGAGTTTTTTCTCCTCTCTCTAAAGTCGGGCGTACACTGTGCGACTTTTTCACTTTTTTGAGACGATTTTCCTCTCGTGCGAGAATCCACAAGATCGGGGCGAGTTTTGCGCTGAGCGTCGTGTAGTGTACGGGAGTTACAAGAGGCGATTAACACCACGTGACCAGCTACCGATCAGCAATCGTGAGGTCGCATGGATTTCTGGAGTGTTTGATATTTTGCTCGTTCCTCGTGAGGGTTGAAGCGGCGCAGCGAGCGGCTGCGACCCAAAAAGTTCCAGAACCGCTCATGGCGCATGCATCAACACCGCTCGCCCGCTATTTCCCTAATAACACACGTTGTTCGTTTTTATTTCTACAAGTTTTTTTTACACACAATGGCAAGGGTTGTCAAGAAAGTGTGTTTGTCATGTTCATGTCAAATTAAAGTGATCACAAAACACAGATTTACTTTCTTTATTTCGTTTTCCTCATCCAACCCCCATAAATCCCTGCGTGTCCTCCTGCAGTACTCCCGAAGGACAACAGGCAAAAACGAGACAAAAAAGTCTGACGTGTTGTGTAAAAACTGCTATTGTTAGCATATTTTTAGGTCCGACGTGTTGCTACCAGAGTACAGTGTGAGCAGTCAGGTCGCATCCGAGAACAGGGTCGTACAGTGTGAGCGCATGACTCGTGAGATCTGCCCTGCGAGGAAGTCGTACAGTTTGAGCTGAAGCTGAGTGCTACGAGTGAAAAAGTCGCACAGTGTACGCCCGGCTTTACTGTGGAATGCGGCTGATAAACCCTGATGTTTGTCTGGTATGCTGTGGAGGTTGGTGAAATAGCCTGTCCGGCAACAAGTATCCATGGTTACTGAGTTTCTGGCTGTCAGTCACAAATTAAGGCTTCCTTTCTGGAATGCCCTGCTTGACAACAGAAAAGCTAGCAGTCACCCCTGTAACTTGAGACTTCCTTTTAGAAGGTCCCGCCTTAGATAGAAGCAACAGTGTTATTGGTTAAGTGTGGACAGTGATGGATTGTTCTTTGTCTTTGTCTGCCTGTGCTTCAATAAAACCATCTGTGGTGGAGAGAACACGCCAGAGTTAATCGAACATGGGCCTTTGCAGGCTTTTGGCCGGTTGCTCTCCGCTGCCTCTTCACAGCGTATAAAACCTACTGACTTCTCTCCTGTGTGGTTCATTCCAGGATATAAAAATACCCAACACTGTTTTTAAAGACTGGATGAGGAAAGGTTTAACAACCTTCTGTCTGGCTACTAAAACTAAAATGATAAGAACTTTCCAGGATCTGAAAGACAAATTCGATTTGAAAAATCAGGATCTCTTTAGATATCTTCAATTGAGTCTATTTCAACAAGGAGATTAAAGGGGGAGCCTCTAAAGAGTTTAACCCGGTTGTTGAAACAATATGTCGATCTTACAATCAAAAGAACACCAAGATTATCTCAAAATTATATAACAGCTCGATGAGTAACTTAAAGACTACATCACTTCATGTAAAAACAAAATGGGAATGAGAACTAAATGTAATGGCAGAAGAGGAATGGTACCAAATCTGCAGTATAGCACGGGCATCTTCAAACTCTGTGCTGGCGTGAATTTAACTGGAGGTGTATCATTAGGTTTTTTATCACTCCACATGTGAAGAGCAAACTGCTTAAAATAAAACCGTTGTGTTGGAGAGGATGTGGCAGCTTTGATGCTCATCACACCCATATTTTCTGGACTTGTCCCACTATTCAGTCATTTTGGACTCATGTTGAAACCATAATACAAGACATCCTGGGATACAACGTGCCAAGAGAAGCTACTGTACTATTTTTGGGAATCATAACTAAATGGGTACGGAATGAGGACCATGACTTGTAAAGATTTTGTTAATAGTTGCAAGGAAGACCATAACAAGACTCTGGCCCAAGCCCACAGCACCAGACCAACTCCAATGGATGATAATTGTACGAGCCATATCGCAGATGGAAAAACTGACATATTTTAAGGTTAAGAGAATCCGAGTACAATACTAAATGGAAAAAGTGGATTTGTTTTATGGGTCTAGATAAGTGACAAGTGTATAGATAACGTTGGTATGTATACTTATGACTGATACATGTATTTGTGGTAATGAGAATAATCTCCTTCATCTCCTCTGACCAGGTTTTCTTTGGTTCTGTTGTTTGTTTTTTGTTGAAAAACTGCAATAAAAATAAGTTATATATATATATATATATATATATATATATATATATATATATATATATATATATAATATAAGATAAATATATGAGATGATGATTATAATAATATGAGACAATTCCCGTCTAACAATCTAATATAGGATTACTGTTCTATAAGGGAATGGCCCACCCCAGTAACAGAGCTGTGTGTCTGATGGTTTTAGATCCACGGCTGTCAGATCCTGGAGACAGTTTACAAACACAGCTGCGGGGGTCTCCCTCCTGTACGCATGGCTCTAGAAAAGTAAGTCCCCTCCATTTGGAGTTCTGTAGGTTTTAATGATTGTAAATCAAGACATTTCAGCGCTTTTTTGCAGCTTGCTTGTGTTGCATATGACGTATTTGTCTCAGCGGTCCGAAAGTTCATCTGGTTTTGGTTTGTTAATGAGGCCTATTTTGATTCTTCTGCACTCCGCATAAAGTTTTTATTATTTTATGTTTGTGTATGTAACGCTGACATTCTGACAGATATTGTCTTGGTTTGTGAGTTTTCTTTCTGCATTTTGCAGGATTCTGGCTGCGTGTCATGGTGTGATGTACAAGCAGTTAGCAGCATGGATGCTCCACGGATTGCTGCTGGATCAAAGTGAGGAGTTCTTCATAAAGCAGGGTCCCAGTGCAGGAGGTGCTGCTGCCAGCCAGGACGAGGAGGAGGAGGACCTGGGTCTGGGAGGTTTAAGTGGCAAGCAGCTCAGAGAATTACAGGACCTGGTGAGGCCGGTTAAAGTCCTTCATCAGTCCGTGGATAGGGTCTGTCTAACAGCGTTTACTCTAATGTCTTCAGAGGCTGATCGAGGAGGAGAACATGCTGGCTCCATCACTCCAGCAGTTCTCTCTGCGAACAGAGATGCTGCCATCTTATATCCCCATCAGGGTGGCTGAGAAGATCCTGTTTGTTGGAGAATCTGTTCAAATGTTTGAAAATCACAACCACAGCCCGTCCAGAGCCGGTACTTCATATATATGTGGAGTCTAGCGCCCGCTTATTAGTGACCCTCAAACACATCTTTGTCCTTTTGTTTTAGGCTCCATATTAAAGCACCAGGAGGACCTTTTTGCTGCTGAGCTACACAGACTCAAACAGCAGCCGCTGTTCAGCCTGGTGGACTTTGAGAATTTAATCGATCGAATCAGGAGCACAGTGGCAGAGGTGAGCACCAGCATCGCTGCATTACTTTACTCGGTTAAATAAAAACACAAGTTGGCGGGGACGGCGCTGTAAAACGTAACCCTGGTCCTATTGTTTTGATCTGCAGCACCTGTGGACGTTGATGGTGGAGGAGGCAAATCTGCTGGAACAGCTCAAGGTTTTTCATTTCGTAATTGTTTGTTGAACTCGGATATGCGCTGTGCTGACGATGTTTGTGATCTCCTCCAGATCGTTAAGGATTTCTACCTGCTGGGTCGTGGCGAGCTCTATCAGGTGTTCATTGACCTTGCTCAGCACATGTTGAAGACTCCTCCAACAGCAGTCACCGAGCACGGTAAACATGTCTGCACAGATCTCACTCACCTCTGGGTGTTTTTATTTTACCTGGTGTTAAATCATATCATATGCATTCTGTATACATGAAATATTTTACAGAATTATGATCCATAGCAAACTTTCTTGAGACAACCAGTTCCTCTCATTTGGGTGTTTTCTCTGAGGAAGGAGTTCAGACAGTGGTGGTTAGATGCCAGAGGGGTCTCCTCCTCTTCATCAGATCATAATCGGGTTCATCGTTTTACAGAGGAAGACTCAGACCCTGTAGATGAAGAGCTGTTTTTGACCTCCTAAACTGGTGTACCTGTAAATGTTTCACAAATAAACGTGTAGTCGGTTGTTTGTTTAGACTGTCAATCATTTTTTTGACGCTTTCACGAAAGGCTGTCGTCGTGCGTTCTTGGTGCTGGGTAGTTTTCACTTCCTGCGCATTCTGTCTATGTGCAGAGTGATCCGCTTTTATTCCTCGTCGTTCTCACCGGGTTCTTTTGAAAATGGCCGAGAGTCGCAAGAGGAGAAGTGTCTCTGAAGTCGGGCCCTAGAAATAAGATCAGAATCTTTTTTTAGGAGACTCTTTCCAACGATGGCGTACGCTTAAAGCGAAGGTTGGCCTCCCCCCAGACACCTCTGTTGCTGGTTTTCTGCTCGACGGGTAAGCTGAAGTTCGGCGTGCTGTTTGGAGGAATTAATTTCAGATTACTGCTAGAAGAAGCGCTGCAAGGCCGGCAGCAACTTATAAACAGAGTGTGCATTTTTTTCTAAACAGACCCTGTGTAACCCGGGTTATCTTCCAGGGTTATTGAGCCTAAATTCCTTTAAAAAATTCTCCATTGTTAGGAACCGTTTTTCGTTAGTATAAAAAATTACGAGGGTTACTTGAACGCAGCATGGAGCCGAGCTGCGCAGCCCTCCCCACACCGGAGAAAAAAAACGTTTTTGTCCGTTAGGCTGAACAGGTGAGCAGAAGTTCAGCTAACTGCCGTCAGCGATGCAATAGGTGACTGGAAGCTTCTAGAAATGTAAGGTTCATCACTTAAGAAGGGTTTAAGATTATTTGTGAGAAGTTTTTATTGAAACAAAAGTGTTTTATGATTATAGAGTGTGTTCGCTACTGAAGGAGGAGCCGTTAGAAGTAGACCTCGATTTGTTTTTTGAAGAAACCCTTTGGTGAGTTAATCTAATGTTTCATGGACTGAATGTATATGTAGATGTGAAACAAAGTAGAAAAAAATGTTGATGTAAGCTATGCTAAGCTATGTTCTGTGAAATATATGTATGTTTTTGACCATTTGTGACGGTCTCGTGTAGCCACATTTTTAAGCCACCCGGCTAGCTGTTAGCTCAGTTTCTGTGAGTAGATGTGTTAAACTGTTGAGAAAATGAATTGTACACAAATTTCCTGTGAAGATAAGGTGATTTGTTTTGCTTTTATATTTATTTTGTTAATGAAATCTACTTTTCCAAGTATAGTTATTTTGTGAGTTTGGAAGATAATAGAAAACAGACAGTGACATTATTATAATTTTGTTGCATATGTTTTATGCAGGCTTGTTGATTGAGGTTTAAATCACCTTTTCCTGCCTGGAAAGCCAACACATTTAAAGACTCAGATGCACTGCTTTGGTCCACTGGGGAGGTATTAATACTCATGGGTGCCACATCCATGGCAGGATGTCTTCATCATATCCTGTCTCATCAAAGATGTGGTAGGATCATTTAAGACCTCTACACGATTCAAAGGACTAAGGTTTTTTTCCCTTCCTGAGTGAGGGTTTGGACACTTTTTTTGGCAACTTTCCAACATTTTAGTGGACTGAATTATCAATTTGCCCAAAAGCAAGAAGACTGTGTGACATAGTCCTGAACACTTTGTTAAAGGACAATTGGTTTTATTTATTTATTTATTTATTTATTTATGTATTTATTTATTTTTTTATTGTCTATTTATTGATTGTTCAATTTTTATCATTCCTTTAAGAGCTCTCTAGGAGAGGGAATTTAGCATTTATTCCCTTTATGATGAATATTACAAATTGTTACATATTTCAATATATTTAATTTATTGAATTGATTGTTGTGTGTGTGGTTTGTGGGTTGGAGGTTTCAAACTTCAGGTAATGAGATACTACTGCTAAGAACCCAGAAATAGAGTTCAAAGGAACAAAAAGCAAGAAACCTTAGTAAATAAGACAGATTTGATCCTGTAGCTCCCACAACACTTTAACCTTGAAGGAGTATTCCACGCTGATATATTTGAATACACATACTCAGTCTTTCAGGGAGCCACAGGTTACAAAAAAATGGAGGTTCCACCGAGATTCTGGGTTGCAGTAGTCGCCTAATCCTCCACCCCATAGCACAACACTTTTACGTTGGTTTAAAACAAACAAGTATGGATCTTTGCAATCATTTTCATGTTGATGGTCAATGTTCTTTGTATGTGGAGGGTGTTGAAGACACTTGCACTAGTGAAGACATAGCAAGTGTTTTTGAAATCAATGGGAAGGTATCTAGAGTTGTCAGAATTCCCAATGAATCAAACAAGCCAGAGGGTAGAGCCCTGATAGAGTTCGAATCTGACAAAGCCATATCAAAGATAAATCCCCAAATCTTAGGCAGTTTTCCAAGCCCACTTAACCCTTCTGTTATCTGGTCTGCAAGAACAATACGTGACATTGCCCAGGAAGAAATCGGAAAAGAAATAGGCCAAAGATATCTTGAGGAACTGAAAGCTATTGGTGTCAAGGGGAAAGCGGGGTTCCTTAGCATTCTGCTAAATGAGATGCAGGGATCTCAAGAAGCCGTACCTCCGGTCTCTGATACCCGATTACCTACAGCAGAGGTTGGGCTTTACTCTATAAGTAATGAGAGTGGAGAACCTGTTCGAACTGTACCATGCCAGGGTGTACCTGACCCTGTTTTGGACCCAATCATTCTTGATAAAAATGTGTTCAACCCATCTTCTGTCCAAAAAGTTATTGTTGAACATGTTATCCGGAACGAGTCCCTTAATACAGCCAACACCCCTACGCGGATACGTACCTTCTCTGGTCGTGTCCCGAGACCAAATGGGGAAGTAGACTATGATACCTGGCGCACTCAGGTGGACCTTTTAATGAGTGACTCTTCCTTGAATGATGTGACAAAAGTCAGAAAGATACTAGAAAGCTTGCTAAGCCCAGCTACTGATGTTGTTAAGATACTAGGGGTTTCTTCTCCACCTAGTGCTTATGTTATGCAGCTTGATGCAGCCTTTGGTGTGGTGGAGGATGGAGAGGAGCTGTATGCTGTTTTTTTAAGCTCAAATCAGAACAGCGGTGAAAAACCCTCAGCCTTTTTGAACAGACTGCACTGTCTTCTCACAAGAGCAATTTCTAGAGGGGGAGTTCCCCCTGGGAATCCAAATGAATTGATTCTCAGACAGTTCTGCAGGGGTTGTTGGGATCAAAGTCTTATTATTGGTCTACAGTTGGAGTACAAGAAAAATGATCCACCATCTTTCCCGAACTTGCTCCTTTCAATAAGGACTGAAGAGGATCGAAGATCTGCAAAGCTTGACAGGATGAAGAAACACCTTGGATCCGTCAAGACCACTGCACTCGCTCATTCAGTGCTTGACATGCCTCAATATGATATTGACTGTAGTTCAGCATCCAGTGCTAAAGAGAATAACATGAGCAAATTTCAAAAACAGCTCAATGAACTCTCAAAGCAAGTAGAAAAATTAAGCCAAGAGTCCAAGAAGCCAGCTACTGGATGTGAAATCTCTCCAGAGCCAACATTAAGACAAGCGGAAAATACTAAGCTAGAGAGCAAGATAGATGAGCTATCAAACCAGCTAAAACAACTGACTGAAGGTCAGAAGCTCAGCAAGGCAGGCAATTGTGATGGAAACACTCAATGTCTGAGAGTAACCAGTAACAGTATTAAGAACCCAGGGAAAGTTCTTAGCATGCCAAGGGCCTGGTTCTGTTTCAAATGTGGAGAAGACAACCACATTGCTGTCCGGTGTCCAAATGAACCGAACCCCATACTTGTTCACCAAAAGAATGCAGAATTAAAAGCAAGAAGGGAGAAGTTCTTGGCTCAACAGGCAGCCGAGCCTTTTTCTTTAAACTTGTAACAGCTCCTGCAGTGGGACTTCCAGGAGCTGGGACTGCAGAAATCCTACGTCCCAAAAGTTTTGTCTATAGTTCTGTAACCCAAGATGCAGTGGTGCCCCATGCACCAAACTTGACCAATGGTGCAAATCCAATGTTACCATCTGGGCTTGTGGGTCCTCATTGTGCAGCATCTGTCCTTCTTGAAGGGGTGCCGTGTGAGTCAATTATGGACACTGGATCCCAAGTCACAACCATTTCAGAATCCTTCTATCGAAGCCACCTTTCTCATTTGTCTGTGCAACCAATCCAGGCTCTTCTTGAAGTTGAAGGAGCAGGAGGACAGCATGTCCCGTATCTAGGTTACATCGAAGTATGTGTCACTTTTCCTTGTAATATTACTGGTCGAGAAGAAGAGTTAGCTGCTTTAGCACTTGTAGTCCCTGACTGTGCTTTTAATAACAGAATTCCCCTTCTGATCGGGACCAATGTGATGTTCCAACTACATGACAATCTCCTTGAGCACAGTGGTCCAAAATTCATACATCAGCTGTGTTCTCGAGATTTGACAATGGTCTTGCAGCATGTAGCTCATGCACAGAAGAGTGACAAATTTGTATATTCTGTGAAGCTGCATGGCGAAAATGCCATCACTATACCAGCGAATCAAAAGCGTTGCATTATGGGTAATGTAAGATTAAAGAAACATGATATGAACAAAAATTTTGTTCTTGAACCACACAAACATCTTCACTTACCTGGTGGATTACTTCTTGAACCCGCATTGGTGGATACCCCTTTCATGACTAACGCTAAGATCCCCATAGTGTTGCGTAACCTGAGTGACCACAATGTGATGCTACGGCCGAAGTCCGTCCTTGCTCAGTTATGTGCAGCG